GCTTCCACTACCGCATTTCTCTGAGCATTTATTCGTTGCAGGCTTAAGCTCTGGGTCGCTCTTTGTGACTACGAAACCATTAAAACCATCGAAGAGAACGAAAAGAATATAGCTGCCGTACAGGACGTTGGAGTATTTCATAGACGTGTGTCCCTGGAAGCACAAAAGTAGCACGTAAGAGAAGGATGTTTCGTTGTGAAGTTCTCTCTTTTTTAACTTGACAGAGGTGGTTGATGCGTCGCTCATTCGCTTGGTAACTTGTCTTGCAGGACACTCGATTATTCCGCGGGATCTGTTCATCCAGGCGACTTGAAGAAACCACTTACGGAATCGACGAATTGAAAAAGCAAAGTTTATATATATACACCCCAGGTTCGTGAACGCTTTGAATGCATATGCAGTCTCACTTGGTAGCTCAGATGCTTTTATGTATGTGGCGTCACAGCCGGTGCGAACGCGATGCGAGATCATTTAAAAGCAAACTCCAAGGCCTCATGAAAACGAAGGTATGCCTGTCGCTTTTGTTTGAATCGGTGTCGCTTATCTTGTTTTTAACTTTATAAACCCGTGATTTTGTGTTTTTGTGTCTTGGCAGAAGCTAAAACTGGCGTGAATCGTGATTCACACCGACTCAAAAACTCATGGCAAGTGCGTGTGTGGTTTTTACTTTTGGAGGCAGCGAAAGCGATGGATATCTGGTTTCGCTTAGGTGAGAGCTCTCTCGTCAAGCGAGAAACAGGTGTTCTTATGCGTTTCCTCGTCTCGCAGGGGTCTCTCTCAGCCGGCATTCAGCGAAAAGAAAAAAACGAGAAATAAAAAAACGATGATAGATTCACTCGTTTTGCCCCTCGAGTTTGATCATCAATGTTTCGTGTCAGGGAGGTGTCTGGATGGGGCGCTCTATAATTTCATGTCACTGCTGGTGGTAAGTTTCACGTACTCGCGAAAAAAAATGGTTTCTTTTTGTTTTCGATATAATGGTCGTGAGTGACAGGAGATTTGCTCAAAGAGAAGGTTGGTTTTTTTTTATGGCGAGAGATCGTTGACCACACCACCAACCGTTCTTTGATGGATTACGTGAGTAATGCGATGCGCGAGCTACGTGAGTGATTGGAAACAATCACACAAGAGATGCACGACTGTGACACTTAGAGTACAAGGAATGGAGCTAGCTGGCTGAGCTGCGCGGGAATATTCTATTGCCCATAAACCCTAATAAAATATACCTTGGGTGTTTTTGGGGGTTCTAGGGTTTCGGGGAGCAAGCTAAGTTTTCTTCCCGGCATTTGCGATAACTCCATCGGAAATGGCGACGCCGGCGGCAGCAGATGCTACTGCCACACCTCCTCCTCCTCTTCCCGACGAGGCGCAGCAAAAGATCGAGGAGCCAGGGAAAGAAGAGGCGGCCAAGATCGAGGAATCTCCAGCTCCAGCTCCAGCAGCGCCAGCGCCGGCGTCGGAATCCGGGAATGGCGAAGCTGCAGCGGAGGCAGCGAAAGAGGGGGAAGCGCCAGAAGAAGTGGCGGCGCCGGGGCCAGTGGATGATAGTCTTCCGTCTTTCAAGGAGGAGAGCTACTTCGAGAAAGATCTAAAGGAGTCGGAGAAGAAGGCGCTGCATGAATTGTCGGACAAGGTAGAGGCGGCGATCAAGGCCAAGGAGTTTGTGTTGCCGCCCAAGGTGGAGGTCGTCAAGGAGACAACGGAGGTTGCTAAGGTGGATGAGGCTGTGATTGTGGCCACCACGATCGAGAAGGATGTCAAGGAGGGCGATTTGGAGGTGAAGATTCAGGAGGCTGCAGTGGCTGTGATCGCCCCCGAGGAGGCAGCACCAGAACTGCCACTGTCGGAAGCTCCCAAGGAGGAAGAAGCCACGACCACTCCAGCGGCATCGTCCGAGGCTGCTGCTGCTCCAGAGCCCACCAGCGAAGAGGTAAAAGCTCCAGAAGCAATTCCAAAGGTGGAAGAAACTCCAAAGCTGGAAGAAACTCCCAAGGTGGAAGAAGCTCCCAAGGCGGAAGAAACTCCAGCAGTGAAAGAGGAGGTGGAAGGAGGAGCTCCAGAAGCAAAAGCGGAAGAGCCCAAGATTGAAGAAGCTCCTCTGGCAGCTCCAATTGATGAGGCTCCCAAAGATGGCGTGATAGTGGCTCCTCCGCTAGTGACGGAGACGACGCAGGTGGAAGAGGACACTGCTCCTCCGGAGGACTTGGAATTGTGGGGAGTTCCGTTGCTGCCAAGCAAGGGTGATCCGAGAACTCAGGTGATTTTCCTCAAGTTTCTCCGGGCCAGGGACTTTAAGGTGAAGGACGCGTTTGCAATGCTCAAGAACTGTGTGCTGTGGAGGAAGAGGTATGGAGCTGACAAGATTCTGGAGGAGGACTTGGGGACCGAGTTTGAGGCGTCGGCTTTCAACCACGGCGTGGACAAGGAGGGGCATCCCGTGCAGTACAATGACTTTGGAGCGTTCCAGGATAAGGATTTCTATCAGAAAGTTTTTGGCGACGCTGCCAAGACAGAGAAGGCATTGCGGTGGAGGGTGCAGCTATTGGAGAAGCAAATCCAGAGCTTGAATTTCAATCCAGGGGGTGTCACCTCAATGCTACAGGTGGTCGACATGAAGAACGCTCCTTTACTGGGGAAGAAAGGTGTCCGGCTTTTTATGAGCCAGGCTCTTAAACTTCTAACGGACAACTATCCGGAGCTTGTCGTGAAAATCGTAAGTGTTCGATCGATTCGACTTTTTGGTTTCTAATTGTTTTGCTGTGGCCCAGGTTCTTTTGAATACTCCCTGGTATTTCAGTACCATCTATGCATTTATCAGTCCCTTCTTCACGCAACGTACCAAGAGCAAGTTCACGTTCGGGGGGAGCTCTTTGTTCAAGTAATAGTGTTTGTTTTCTTTGCTGTTGTTTACTCTACTCACCCACGCGCCGAAATCCTTTGGCTTTTTTCTTGTCCCTTGATCAGATTTATCTCTCCCGACAACATTCCTGTGCAATACGGCGGTCTGAGCAGAGCTAATGATACTGAATTTGGAGGAGATGCCAGTGCTTCGGTGACAGAGCTGGTACTAAAAGCTGGCGAGAAGAAGACTGCCAGTATTGAAGTGTCAGGGGTAAGAACTTGTCTGTGCTCTTGCGTGCTGATCAAAATCACGAGGATGTTATAGGTACTAATCTTCTTTTTGCTACTCTTTCTTCTTTTTATTTTCCCCTCAGGCTGGAGATACAGTGGTTTGGGAATTTGCACTAGTAGGCTCGGACGTGACATACGGTGCCGAGTTTGTCCCCAGCAAGGAGGGAGGGTACACCACGATAGTTGTGAAACCGAAAAAGATAACATCGCTCGAGGAGCCTATCCGCAACACTTTCAAGTCGCCAGAGCCTGGTAATCTCGTGCTTTCAGTCGATAACACTTTGTCCAGGAAGAAGAAGACCGCGCTCTACAGATACATCATAAAGCCGCCTCCAGCAGCAGTGTGAAGAGAAGAGAAAAGAAGAAAAGGAGGTCAGTAGCTTACAACGATTCTGCACAGCTCTGCTTTTTCTAATTTGCCACCACATGCCACTGCTGTTCGTAGAGATTTGCTAGCTTTGTTTTTTCTTTCTCGTTTTCGCCTCTGCGCTGAATCCATTTTTGGAGCCTTTATTGCTTCTACAGCTTAGAGTGTTTTGTGTATAGTTTTTCTTCTTCCGCGTTTTCTCTCCTCGTGTTCTTCTTGCCGGCATTCTTTTGGATCTCACTGCTGCTTTGTTTTGCTCTAGCTATCAAAATAATGTTCTCGTTTTCTCCCCTCGCGTTGCAAGTGTTTGTACGAGTTTATCGCTGGGCTGTACACTCGTCAGTGTCAATAATGCAAGTCTGCAAGTGGCATCCTTGGTTTAGTTTGTTTGGTCGCATTTTCTTCTTGGGTTTGTCATGCCAGCAGGCATCCGTGGGACCGAGTTGGGGAGAGATGAGCTGAGCACAGCGAGCCCAGCACACAAGCCAACTACAGCTTCGTTTTCTCTCGTTTTCTTCTCTCATTCTAACTATTCATGATTTTCAGAAAGAAGATGGAAATTCTTTGACTTTAGAGCTTCCGGATCGAAAGATTAAAGAAAAAGTTTGTCGATGCCAGCTGAAAGGTTCGAGTTTTGTTTTCTTTTTGGTTTTTTATTGCGTTTTGCAGTGTGTCGTGTCCGCGAGAAAATGTATCGCAGGCCCACGCAAAAAGAAAAAAAGACGAAGCTTGATCCGCGTTTGATCGCGAGGATCGAGGAAAGATGTATAGCGTGGCGAAATCTCAAGTCGCTATAACGTTTTAAAGAATCCATCGACTATGAGTGAGCGCTTGCCATTGTTTTTTCTCGCTGGCCGAGGAATATTTTTAGCAAAGATTCGAAAGCCCGCGAAGGAAGCTCCAATCGCGAAGCCAACGAACGAGATTTCTTGGGCATTGAATGGACGGGCAATCCGAGAGGCGTTCTTTATATTTTTATCCACCACTCACGCCTCGCTCTTTAGGGTTAGGGTATTTTGAGGGTTTTGGAGGGATGAGTTGCTGAGCGCATTCCCTGAGGAGCAATGGCGCTGCTATCGGCGCTCAGCGTGCTGCCGCTGGGATTGATGTTCTTCTGCTCTGGATTTGTTGTCAACTTGCTCCAGGTAAGAATCGAGCCGCAAGAATTTGTGAATTTTTGTCTCTCTCGATCTCTCTCAATCTCGGGGATTTCGTTGTAGGTTTGCTCGCTCGTTTTGCTCCCATTCTCGAGAGGATTGTTCCGGGCGGTGAATATGTCGCTGTTTGAGCTCGCATCGTCGCAGCTGGTCTGGATGGTGGAGTGGTGGGCGGGTGTGGAGGTGCATTAAATTCGCTTCTCCCTCTTTGTCTTTTTGCTGCTCTAAGCGTTCTTACAGGTGCGCATTTACGCTGACGAGGAAACTCGCAAGCATTTTGGTAAGAGCTTTTTATCAAGCTGCGATGAAAAGTTGTATTTAGAGCTCGATGTGGGTTCTCGTTACCAGGGAAGGAGCATGCGCTGATCATCTCGAACCATCGCAGCGACATTGACTGGCTTGTTGGCTGGATTTTCGCATCTGTACGGCCACTTTTGTGGAACTTGGGTATGATTCTTCGGTGGTTTTATTCTTCTGATCAGGGCTTTCCACTTCTGGTAGCGTGTCGGATGCCTGGATGGTACGCGGGCAATAATGAAAAAATCCTCCAAGTTTCTACCGGTTTGTGACATCACCAATCAATTCTTAGCCTTTTTTTTCTATTGTTTTGCTTCCATCCAGGTCATTGGTTGGGGAATGTGGTTCACCGAGTACATATTTCTGGAGAGGAAATGGGAGAAGGACGAAAACACGCTAAAGGTACCAGGCTCAAAGTTTGTGCTGTGGAAATTAGAACTGCTTGTTACAGATCGGCTTCCAGCGGTGGAAGAACTTTCCACGGGTTTTATGGGTGGCTCTCTTCGTCGAAGGGACGCGGTTTACCGAGGCGAAACTTAAGGCCGCCCAAGAATATGCAGCCTCTGCTGGACTGCCTGTCCCACGGAATGTGCTTGTTCCTCGAACCAAAGTACGTTTGCTATCCTTTGCATTCCGGTTTATCAATAATGAGAATTCTTGCAGGGATTTGTTTGCGCCGTGGATAATTTGCGCTCTTTCATTCCTGCAGTCTACGACGTGACCTTCGCTCTCTCGAAATACAAGCCTGCTCCTACCATGACGAGAATTCTAAATCGTCAATCTTCCGTGGTATGTTTCCTCGGCCTGCCGTTTTCTTTTTCTTTTTTTCTTTTCAGTGTTTCACTTCTCTTTCTCAGGTCCATATGCATGTGAGAAGAGTACCAATGAACGAGCTGCCCACTGAAGAAGAGGAGCTCACCGAGTGGTGTCGAGAAGTATTTGTCAGAAAGGTATGTCGTTGTGATCGCGGAAAGGTGACTAAGCTCGATGGTTTGCAGGATGATCTGCTGGACAAGCACAAAGCAGAGAACACATTTGGCGAGGAGCTGTATGTCCCTCTGACGCGATCCTATAAACCTCTGATGGTAACGCAAACCTTTTCAAGTTTCCAGTTTTTTGCTTGACATCTTCATCCCCTTCCAGATCGTGATCATGTGGGCGTCGCTACTCACCATCGCTGTGGTGAGTTTGCTGGCACGCCTGCTAAAATCAGCGTCTGGAATCGCGTGGTTCAGTGGCGTCCTGGTGAGCGTCACGGCTTTGATGCAAGTCGCCATTCTCGCTACTCAATCCGAGCGCTCGACACCGGCAAAGAGAGTGAACAAAGGAACCCATCGCAACTAGTCCAAATCAAGAGAGTACCAAAGTTTCCATCGCTATTGTGAGGTCATCACTGTATAACTTTTTTTTCCTCCCGACGAAGAGATTTCCATAGTTTTCTTACGAGCCGTGAAGATTTTTTAAAAGCCCGCGAAGTTGGGCTAGATCTAGATAGAGAGAAGCGATGGTGGCAACGAGCCAGGGCGATTCTATGGCGACGCATTGCCGCGGCCTCACATTTGCTATAAGCGCTCTGCGCGGTCCATGGGCGGTCTGTGCACATGTACACAAGATCGAGGGCCGGATTATCAAGCACGAGCACTCAGAAAGCGGAACGATGTGCTTTACGGCAAGGCTGACCATCCGAGCTCTAGCACTCCAAATCCTTTTTCCAGCAGTCCAAAGAATAAAGCTCGTTGCCACTCCCGGATTAACTCCTCCTGCAGTACTGTGCAATGTTTTACATATTGCTGTCACGCTGATGTATATATCTCAGAAAAAATTCCAACAGAAAATTCATTAAACGGTTGTGATTCCCGTCAATTTGCCCCACCAACTTTGGGTTCATCACTCAACAGGAACTGCCAGTATTATTATTAATAGATATACAAGCTTTTACAAATGGAAGATCATAGAAATCTCTAGTCGAGGATTAATCACACAATATATGAAAAATTATATAGGGCTTGAGTCATAAAACAGTTTGTGAAATAATCATATGAAAGTCATATACAAATATACATAAGAAAACAATAACAAAACTTAAAACAGGGAAATAAAACCATACACAAAATTCAGTTCAATATTTTAAAATGATATGCAATCCAAAAACCACATTCACAACCATAAACTTTCGTTTTAAAAACTTAAAAATGTTATAGTTCAAAATATATGTAATGACAAACACATGATTGTCTTTATTATCATTGACAAGAAGGTTATATCATTTTATATTTATTTATTAGAACTTATGATTACTATATTTCAAAATGAAATAAATTTATATGACTATTAAAAAACTAAACTTATTTTATTAGAGTATATATTATTGTACCTAAATGAATATTTGATATAGGTAAATTCATAGACAAGTGGAATTTCCACTTGTTTGAGCAGAGTTTGCCAAATATCTAGGCTGTATACAAGGGAGACAATAATGACATTATAACTCCCATCGTCGTCCACTTGCAGAGTACAAAGTGGAAAGTTTATGAAGTTTGGCATGACGTCTAGTAGGCTGATCCTCCAGAAATTATGCATGTGTAGCAATTAAAACACTTCATACAAAGGGATCAAGAACAATTAATACCATTTATAAATCCACTGATATTTCCTCCTAATGTTCCTTTAGATCTTAACCCATCTATAAGAGAACTCTAATGATCTTTCATTATTCCGAAAGGAGGGGTTTAGATCTTAACCCATCTATAAGAGAACTCTAATGATCTTTCATTATTCCGAGAGGAGGGGTTTAAATCTTAACCCATCTATAAGAGAATTCTAATGATCTTTCATTATTCCGAGAGGAGAGGATGATGTGAAGTGTAAGTGTATGGCTATAATGCCATATACTAGTATTAGCATATTAGGATTTTGATGGCTGTCAGATCACTTCTATATATAAGCTAGGGTTTTGGGTTAATTGATATACACATTTTTTGTACTCCCTTTCCATATTCCATGCATTCAGAATAGGAAATATAAAAATGTGCATATTCAATTCATCAAAAAATTTAACTTATATATAAGAGCAAGTGGTCCAAATTAAAACTAATTCAATAACATCTAAAATCCCACTATAGTATATAATATTATAATTATATACTTGGAACTCACTATATGTAATTAAAGAGAATGACTCGAGAGACAATTTATATAGTTTTAAATATAGACTCATGAACAAAAATGCACCCCCTTTTTCAATTAATTAAGAGTTTTAGGATATATAGAGTTAAATATCATTGGGTTTGAGTATTATTGGGCTAAATGACCTTTACAGAAGTTTAAATTTAAAAGCTTACATTTGGTAGATCTCAAATTGGACTCTATTAGTTGGCTAAGGAAATCACACTATATGTTGAGATTGATATTTGATGGTATCCCAAAATCCTTAACCAATTATCCAAATTTAAAAATTTATAATCACATAATCTCCTCTTTGTTCTTTAATGGATGAGTTGGGATTTAGAGGTGAATCCACACATGGTAAATTTATATCTTTATATAAAGTATTGCACATTCATAATTCATGAGGATTGGAATGTTGAGCATTATGCTTTAAAACCTTATAAACTTGAGGCCCAACTTGTTACAACACTTGATATAGTCTCTTTTACTGAGCAAGAAGCCTTTTGGACAAATTATGTATTGTAAAATTGGGAAATAAACTAATACTAGATCATCAATTTTGTACTTTATAGGTGAATAATAATGAAAGTTGTAATATCATAATTGTCTCACTTTTATATGGCCTTAGTGTTTAGCTAGAGTCAAATATTGATTCTAGAGTTTATTATCAACTATATCATACTCTATGTCTCTCCCCTTAAGTCAATTGAAAAAGAAGTAATTTCTTAATAAAAGAGTATTTAGTGGTTATTTTATCCCCATTTATCCCCTAAAATTCTAAGGATCCACAATAATAATATATCTAAATTTTATCCCTTGATTACATACGTTACATTTGGCATGTAACACACCTTATCTCTCCCCTATTAAGCCAACTAAAAAAGGAGAATTGCTTAATAAAAGAGTCTTTAATGGCTATTTTATCCCTATTTATCTCTTAAAATTTAAAGGATCCACAATGACAATATATCCAAATCTCATAACCATTTATATTACACTCACTCCCGCCCCCCCCAAAGATGTTAATGTTTTCATTGACTATTGATTAATAACCCATACTAAGCCAATTTATTAAATCTACCAATCCTTTCATTATATAAATTAGTTATTACATGTGAGCTAATTAGTTATTCACCTATACTACAGTTCTAGCATTGAATTTACTAATCCTTCCATTATGTAAATTAGTTATTCCATGAGGCAATTAGTCAGTCATCCCTATTATAGTCCTAGTATTGAATTTATCAATATTTTCATTATGTAAATTAGCTATTCTATATGAGATAATTAATCATCCACCTGTACTATAGTCCAATGGTGGATATTTTCGTCTATAAATGCCCTACAAGACAAAACTCATAGATGCTTAACATATTTTTAATTTTTAGAGGTAGGAATATATCTTGTTCAAGGGTATATTATATTTTAAGTAGCCATTAATTAATGAGAATTGAATTTGTGCTATTTTCTTTGATACTACATGTAATTGAAAAAGGGGCAATTGCTTGATAAAAGAGCTTTTAATGGTTATTTTATCCCCATTTAACCCCCAAGGTTCTAAGGATTCATGGTGACAATATATCTAAATCTCATCTCATAATCACAACATCTTGTAGCATTTGTGGAGATAAACTCCCATATAAAATAGGAGAGTCATTATAAATATGGAGGAGGTGTTAAATGAAAACTAAAGGCACCACTAGCAATAAATAATCATTCAAATCAATTTCTATAAAATAAAAAAATATTTAGAATATAAATGCTGAGGTTATTTAAATAACCTCAGCCCCTTGGGCAGCCAAAGTGCCCTAATAAGTCATTAGTAGAATTTTCAAAACTATCATAAAGCTTTTAGATCCATAACTCAACTCTTTAATCCTCATGAACATCATTTGGAAAAGGCAAATCCAACTCTAGGATATTAAATATTGAGCATAACAATATTATAAAATCTTTATTTAGAAAATCCATTAATATTGAAATAATAAACTCCTTTAGAACAAAAGAAGAGGGAGATAAAGCATCAATATTAACTATTGAACATTTAGGGTGATGAACAACCTTGAAGTTGTAAATTTGAAGCTTGAAGACTTACTAAGTAATATGGCCATTAAATTATTTTGCTTAAAAGATTAAGTGATTGCAATATGGCCTCTGATAGCATCCAAGAACTATATAAATACATATAAAACTTCTCAAAACTCTAAATTGCTGTAAGCAACCAAAAAAAATGACTTGGAAGATAATCTTCAAATATAAAAATCCCATGAACAAAAGTGCATTTTATTTTTCAATAAGTTAACAATCTTGAGATATTTGGGATTAAGTGTCTTTGAGTTTAAATAGTACTAAATTATGCATTGGCCAGAAATGCTATTTTACATTAATAAGCCCCCAAAACTAACATCAAAAATAAAAAGTGAGAGGAATGGAAAAACTATAAAAAATATAAGATAGAAGGGGAAGCATTAAAGTCACACTTCCTTGAAATCTGGAAGAGTCAATGAAAGCTCAGAGAGTAACTCACTATAAGCCATTCTTGGTATTGATAATTAACATATATGGCTTTTGCATTTATATGAGTGGTTATAATTGGATTGATAATAAGTGTTTAAAAGTGTTATATGGATTTGGTTCTTGATTATGTCATAGTTATCATCTAAATCTTTCTTATTCATGTAGCTTTTCTAATTCTTTTGATTTTCCTCTTCTTTTCATTAATTTTTATAGTAGAATAATATAATTTTTCTTTATAATAGTCTCTTTTTCCTTATTAACAACTAAAAATAATGATTTGAGAAATTAAAGTGAAAGGGCCAATGAATAATATATTTTTCAAACAATTAAATTTTTTGGGATATTTGGGGTTAAACATTCTTAAATTTAAATAATATTAAGTTGGTTGGTTTTCCAAATTTAAAAGTTTTATATTTAATATTAAAGAGGTTTCAAATTTGACTCTATTAGTTGGTTGAAAGAATCAAATCAAGAGTAGGGCTCTTGAAAGAGTTAGGGTTCTCAACTTGTATTTATGAATGTGTGAACTTGTAAAGAAAAATGATGGATTATAAGAAACTATAGAAAACAACTTGAAAAATATTTCATTAAGGTTCATATATAAGAGAAAGAACTCGTGAATAAGGATTTTGGGATATTTGATATTAAACATTGAATAATACTAGATTAGATGATCTTTTAGGAAGTTTAAGTTTAGCAGCTAGGAAAATTTGGGATGATGTATACAATCAATTTTATCACTTTATAATGATTGCCATTTATCATGTAGATGATGCTTGATATTTATGCAAATTTCCCATTTATCTTCACAGGATAGCATTGCAATGATATAATGGTTTGAGTATAGTTATCTATACATATTAGAGCGTTTTTCTGAATATCTTCAAAGTGCATATTGGAAATGCTAATGATTGTGATGATGCCTTTTAACAATTTCATAGTCTCCATCAAAAGTCATTTGAGTATATTACATAGGTTTAGTATTTGCTTCCAGACAAAGCCTCTTACTTCATATAGAGCAAACAAATTACATTAAGAGCACAACATTACAAGATATCATCTCTCCCACTTATATGCGTGGGATGAAATAGATTTAGTTATGTATGTGATCAAATAAACTTTTTGAGTTTATCCTTTGTATGGATTGGTTGTAGCGTAATCATATTAAATATTGAGTCTTCGGAATTGTATCCCTAAAAACTAAAGTTCAAGGTATTGCTGTATATATAAGTCACAAACTTTCCTTATCATTTAGATTAGAAGAGAATAGGCTAAATAAAAGTAAAAATAAAACCAACAAATAAAAGAATATATGGAAAGACTAGTTTTTATATATTTAAAATCACCAATGAATATTATCCATCAGATTATGAAAAAAACAGTATCATACAATTTTAAAGGAGTGTTTCTATTTTAAAAGTTCAAATATTTCTTCAAGTTCTTCAACTTTCTTACCAATACCTTTTGATGGAAAATACTGTAAATCATGTATTTAAATATATATTAGATATATATGATATACATTCAAGTTCAAGTTCATGTAAAAGTACTTCCAAGACCTTAAAATGATATTTTAAAATAGTAATAAAATATAGTTTTGTAACAAGATATTAAGAACATATGACAAAATAATGGAAAACGAGCTAATTAAGAATCTAGTAAAAATTCATAGTCTTATTTTATACATCCCACATGAGTATTTGTGCTAAGTTAACTATTGAATAGACATGGTTTATATGAACCCACCCAACAATATTTGAAAGTTGGATTTGTAGATCATATTCTTTATTATATAGTTATTTATTCATTAGATCCACTTATAAACTATTATCAACCATAACAAAAATTCTTTTAGATGAAAATTGGAGGTGTCAAATAATTTAGCCATATTTCTTGCAGTTAGTTTGGATTTTTTGAGCCAGCTCCATGTATGATTTAAAGTCAAATATTTTCATCTCTAAAGCCTTATCCCCTTGTCTAACGTGAACACTCAACATTGGCCTTGGTAGCCATGGCTTCGGAGTTGTCCAAATTTTCTCTCGAAGGCTTGCCTGCTGAGTGCCAAAGTCTTTACTGTAGCGCGAAATTTGAAAAAGCCCGCGAAGGATTTGGCGCTTAAATTCCTCCCTGGGTCGAGCGAGGGAAAGGGCTTTGCTCTTCTTGGGCTAGATCTAGATAGAGAGGACGATGGTGGCGACGCTCAAGCCAGCGCGATTCTATGGCGACGCATTGCCGCGGCCTCACATCTACTATGGTACGTATCTCAACACGGAGCGCGTAGATCCTCCTCCGCCGGTAAACGAGGCCCTACTCCAGTGGGCCAAGGACGCGCACTGGTCCATGGGCGGCCTCTCTTCCAAGCGCACGAGAATGCAGGGCAAGATCGAGGGCCGGATTAGCAAGCTTCGATCTGAGGAGGACGAGGGGGCCAAATCGCCGGCGCCCAGCTCCAGCAACGAGAAGAAAAAGAGGAAGGGAGTAGTCGATGATGGTGGTCGAGAAGAAGAAGTTCCTTTGCCAAGTCCCGCCAATGATGCTCGAGGAAGTGGTCGAAAGTCGAGAAGGAAGCTCAGGAAGAAGAGTCAAGTCGCTGCCGCCGACGAGGCTGGTGTCCCGGATCCTCCGAGCTCTAGCCCCGAGAACGAGAGTGGCGAAGGCGATCTTCGTGCAAATACTTCTTCCAGCAGTCCAAAGAATGGTGAGAGCTCGTCGCCACCACCCAGACGGAGTTCTCGGATTAGCTCCCGCCGCAACACTACGTAATGTTCACAAGCACGCTCAATTCTCTAGTTTTCAAAGATGAAATGGACAATCTACCAGTGTAGTCGATTGTTCTAACATTCCAGATCTTTCCTCTGTAGTCGAAGTGAGATTAAGATCATCGTCGAGATCATCGCGTTCTCCTGTGAGAAGAATGGAGTTAGACCGAGAACGATAAACTCATACTCTACCTCGAGTTTATAGAGTTCCAGGAACGTCCTGTAAGCTTTGAAGCTCCGCGATCAGCTTGTGTAGTATTTCCTTTTGGCGGGGAGCTTCTCGCAGCAAAGCTATTCCTTCTCGTATCTTCGTCACGGCAGCAGTGGCTTCGTTCCCCTGTTCCTGTTTGGCTGTGCCAGTTTGTCTAAGAAGCTTGTCTTGCGAGGCTCTCTGTGACTCGCACTCTTCTCTGAGGAGCTCGAGATCGCCGTCACTCATGCTCAGCGTTGTTCTGTTCGTGGCTTTCTCGAGGAACAAGCGGACTGCTGCCATGAAGCCGTCCTCCATGACCGTGTCCCCGGAGGAGTCGAATGATAGAGCAGCGTCGGCTGGAAGAAACCTCCAGAGATCGTTGCATGAGGTTGTCGCAGCAAACTCGCTGAATGATGTGAGGCCGGCGTGAACCAGAGCCCAGTGTTTCTCCGCCAGAGCCAGATGATAAAGCTTCCAGATGGCCTGGATTTGAGAGTCCGGCTCCTCTTCCTGGAAGGTAAAGTCGGCCAAGCTTGTCAAAAGCTCTGGGAGATGAATCTTCAACTCCGGTCTGTCTTCGAGCTGCTCGTGATGCGATGATAGCTTGTTGTTTAACGTAATCACAGCCTTCTCAATATCCGCATCACTGAACACCGCCTTCAACCTCGCCAAACCGAGTACTGCTTTGCTCAAGAGTGGACTTCCAACCGCTGCTTTGTCTATGATGCTGAGTAACAGTTTTGAGATTTTGTTTGAAACGTCACGTTGGAAAGTATGGCTGAGAAAGCTTGTGTTAGTACGCCATCAGAAAAAGTAAGAGCTTTTTACCTCTCAGACGACAAGTCGAGCAGGATTGAAAGAGCCTCCTCTTTTGTGGGGAAAGAATTGGAAGAAATGACGTCCAAAGCAGCACGCACTTGTTCCAGCGCAATATTTTTCGGAATAGCGAAACCTCGTCGTAGAAGGAGTGAAGCAATCACTGCGGAGGACTTCGCTGTGAAGACATCTCTCTTGAAAACTGAAGACGTCAGCCTGGCTCGTACCGAACCCGGCGCAAACTTTGCCAACCGGCAAATGAGTCTGGCGAAGTCTTGAAGAATTTCGGAATGCATGTCTCCGTAGCTTGAAGACGACAAATACCGATATAGTGAGAGTAGAGCCTCCAGGTGAGCCTGACAGAGCTTCTCGTTTCCGACTTTAAAAATAAAGCTCCAAAGATCTAGCAGCAACTCTCGGCAAATCGAAAACCTGTGAATTGCGTTCCCGAAAATGAAGCGTTCCACCTCCTCCCATACCTCCACTTTTGAAGCAGCAGCTAATACAAATGCTTCCAAAGCTTGCAAGACCGACAGATAAAGCAGTTGCATTCCTGGCTTGGCGTCGATCGATACCAGGGCCCTCTGCTGGAGTAGCATTGCATGAAGAGGCATTTCTGACAGCCTTTCCAGCAACCAGTCGAGCTTTCTTGAGAGTTGAAATAGAACGTCCGCTTGAAATTCCCTGGATAGTTGCAACAGTTGGATAAAAACAACAACCTGTGCCGCCGACGAGTATCTCTGGCAACTAGCAGCTTCGCCAAGGACATTCACCACCATGTCTTCCAGCTGAACGTCTCCGTTCGTGAGATACTCGATAAGCTCTCTTTTTGAGTGAACCTGGATTTTCTCGGAGCTGAGAAGCGTGTGAAGAAAAGCGAGCGATGGCGGAGCAACTTGCACAGAGATATCATTCGATATGGTCTCCAGAAACTGGCCATTTTCCAGAACCAGGAGTAACGCTGAGATGTTTATGGAGAACCCCACAATCGCTTTCTGCACCAACACTGCTTCCGAGAGATAAGCACGAGAAATACGAAGAGCATGGACGACGTAAAACTTCACCATAACGAGGTGCTGACTTTTCAGGTTGCCAGAGGTGTCGTCAAGTAGAGACTGCGTAGGCCTGAGAGCCAGTGTGAGCCATTCTGATGCCAGCGACAAAAGTGTGGATATAATGTTGGAAATACTAACGCTTCTGGCTGCAACATCGTGAAACGCTTCCATTTCGAGAAGTCGTGCTGCAACCCTCCATGATACGCTCACCAAGCCGGGGGCTGCCGCTTTCGCCCCAATCTCAACCAAAGCTTGCAGCACGCAAGCATAAATCTCGTGCATGCCACTGCTGAAGCGAGCGGTCGTAAGCTTCTTCAGCACAGTATCTGTCATCAGCTTCAGAGACGTAGAGTGTGCCAATTGAATCTCCTTTGAAGCATCTCGGAACGCCTAGGTGATAAAAAGAAAGGAACTCAAAACCCGAGAGCATGAAAAACATTACCTCGGATAAAGACGCCGCTTTGACGAAGCGCAAGTAGTTTTCTAAGAGCGCCTTAAACGTGATATCGGGTTCGCACAATAGAAGATCGGACTGGGAGAAAAGAGCCGAGATCAACCTTAGAAGCGGCAACTGCGCCTGCAAGGAAAAAGTAAAATAGAATAAGCGAGACGAGACGTCCAAGCTAGGTAGAAATCTAGTCTCACCGTTTCGGCACATGAATCATCAGCAAACCATGCGCAAGCCTGACAAGAAAAATAGGAACAAGAAGAAAAATGAACTGGGATGCTTACCTCACTGGCGATTTCACCATACTTCACGAGCAGTGCTCCATTGTTCTCATTTGCAGAAATCTGTGACGAAGCAGTAGCAAGGATTTCTAGACGATACTCGAGTTCTTGACTTCGAGACATCTTCCAAGATTTCTGGAGAATATTGAAAAGAATTAGACTGCAAACTAAGCGAATAAATAACTTACAAAAAGAGCGATGGCGACGGATCGAGCATAATCGGAAGAAATGCCGCTTGTTTCAAGCAGCTTGAACAGCGCAATCCGCTCCTCCACGATCTGTGGCGCCAGATCAAAACGCGAGCTGGAAGAAATGTGGATCATACCTCGGATCGCTCCAGCGCCTCGAGCAGATCCATCACAAAACCCTCGCTCCTCCTTGGAGAAATTCAAATGAAAGATACGTTTTAGGGTTTTAGTTTTAGGGTTTATGGGTTTGTGATGGATCCTCAGTCGCTGCTCTTCTCTGGAGTGCGAATCGACAAGAGGCGATTCTCAGCCGACATCGCCCGATTCGAGGTAAGCTTCTTCCAGTCCTTCTGTAGGGGCGGTAAATAAATCACAATGTTCCACAGAAGAAGAGAAAATCCGACTTCTCAAACGCAAATGGAGGTTAGTTTCTATAATATGAAAGTACATGTTGTTTACTTCTTTTCTTTAGAGAATGCTGGAGAGGATCTAGAGCTAAAGGTGATACATTCATCCATTTCGCTAACACTCTCACTCATATCTCACTCATAGAGAATTGCTACAGGACATTCCGTCGCTGAAGAAAAAACTTAAGATTCGTGCTGCCGGTGATAATGTTCCTCAGCCTCTCAGGAGTTTCCAGCAGCTTAGCTCGGAGTATCCTTCAATCCAGACTGTTAGAATTTGGATTTCTTATGAATTGTAGATACGACTGTGAGCCAAATTTGATAAAAAACTTGGTGGAAGCCGGCTACAAGGAGCCAACACCAGTGCAAAGGCAAGTTATTCCGGTTCTCCTTCAGGTACGAAAACAAATCTGATTATTTCTATCCTGTTTACAAGGTTTTCTCTTTTTAGGAACGCGAATGTTTTGTCTGTGCTCCCACTGGTTCTGGCAAATCTTTGGCATTCATTCTGCCGATCTTAATGAAACTGAAGGTACCAGGTTCTTACTTGATACTAGATGAAGTGCTAAATCTTGTTCACTTTGTAGAAGTCGAGCCCAGATGGTATCAGAGCAGTGATCCTGTGTCCTACACGTGAGTTGGCGGCACAGCTTATCACGGAATGTAGGAGGCTAGCAAATGGCAGTAAGATCCGTGCGAGATTGCTGACAAAAAGGCTTTTTAAGAACCCGGATTTTGCTAGCCTTCGCTGTGATATTCTAGTATCAACGCCTCTACGCCTGGATAAGCTTGTCAAGTCGGAAAAAATCGATTTAAAACGGTATGCGTTTCTCTTTTAGTTTAAATGGTGTTTACTTGTTTCCCCCAGTGTCGAGTATTTTATCCTGGATGAATCCGACAAGCTTTTTGAGCTTGGATTTATGCAGCAAATCGATTCTATCGTGAGCGCCTGCACCCGGACAAACATTGTGAGAGCATTATTCAGTGCAACACTGCCTGAGACAGTGGAGGAACTTGCAAGAACCATTATGCACGATGCCATTCGTATCGTGATCGGAGATAGGTGACATTTGGAAAACCACCTAGTTTACTTCAAATGTCAGGGGGTTTAACAGTAAGCGATGCAGGAATTCAGCTTCTGAGACAGTCCAGCAGAAGCTCATGTATGCTGGTAACGAGGAAGGCAAATTGTTAGCCTTGAAACAATTCTTCAAGGAGGTAATTTCTGTGACGAAGTTCTCCCTTTTGCTCTTTTATACATCCCTGTTTACATAGGGGCTTTCACCACCGATCATACTCTTCGTGCAATGCAAGGAACGGGCAAAACAGCTTCATAAAGCTTTGTTGTCAGAGAAGCTTAGAGTGGACAGTATTCATGCGGATCGCACGCAAACACAGGTTTAGTTATTGTCTTCTTCTCTTCTTTCTTTTGGAAGTAACGTTTTTTTTTTTAGCGTGAGATTGCTGTTCTTAACTTTCGAACTGGCAAGACATGGATTCTCATAGCAACAGATCTAATGGCACGAGGAATGGATTTCAAGGGCGTGAACTGGGTCATAAACTACGATGTTCCCCAGGATACAACAGTGTACATTCATCGCATAGGTAACTATAAAACCAAAAGTTTCCACTTTTCAAGTTCACTTCATAAAACCAGCTTTTGTATTGCAGGACGCAGTGGTCGAGCTGGCCGGCCAGGAAATGCTTTGACACTGTATGCCGAGGAAGACGTTCCATTGCTGCGGTCTATCGCCAACGTCATGAAAGCTTCTGGCTGTGATGTGCCCGAGTGGATGCTTTCCTTGCCCAAGATTCGCAAAAGGAACCAGAAGCGTATCCGGCGACAACCAGTGGGAGCTAGCGCGTGAAGACTCGTAAGTTCTCCAGTCGTTTAAGCTTCTGCAGAAAATAAATAACCAACGTTCCAGGAAAACATCGAGAGTTGCAGTTGGATCCCTTGTGGGGACCACGAAACTGGAATAACTAGCACCGTTTCTAGAAATCTGACGAGGAATTGATGAAAAGGAAAGCTTGCCTGGTGATCTCTTCACTGGAAGGAGGAAGCAAAAGGATCATGTCTTACGAAAGCGAGATCTCACTTGAGTTGATTGGCAGGAAAAAGAGTTTCTTTGCGAAAAGAGATATATACCAGTATGAATTGTAGCTGCTTGGGAAGAGGGCGACTGCAATAGATCCAACAAGTTGTACAGAATTAGGGACTGCTTTGGTTTCTGCAAACCAAGAGACAAGTTAGATGCAAGAACTAGTTTCAACAAAAACAAACCTGCGTTAAAAGATCGAATTTGTCCAGAGCCAGAGCAAGGGCATCGTGAGAAATGGAGAGAACTGCCTGCAAAGACATCCCAGTGTCACACAGTATCACACAGTCACTTTCTGTGTCAGTAGAATAGACAAACCTCATTTATACTAAAAGGTAGAAGGCAAAGAACCTTATGTTGTGACAAACTGTGAAGACACTTAGCCAGGACTCCATACGTCAGAACGGTAGCCAAAGAGGGTCGACCAGCTGTCAATCTTTGCTTTGTGTTTCTAAAACCAAAATCTAGGGTTCTAGTAGGAACGATGCGTGCCTTGGATCTATGCAGCTAGCATGGCAGTCCCTGACGAATCCAGCCTCGCCGGCTGCGTCGCCCTCATCAAATCCTGCCGGAATCTTGCCGACGCCGAGCGAGCGCACGCCCGGATCCTCGCCAGCCCATTCCTGAGCAGCGATCGCCGCTTCCTCTCCAATCTCCTCATCGAGATGTTTGGGAAATGCGGCGCCACGGCCCAGGCCAGGCGCGTCTTCCGCGGCATTTGCTCCAAGAACACCTTCTCTTGGGCGATGATGCTCTCGGCACACGCCCAAAATGGCGAGGTCTCGGCGGCGAGGCAGATCTTTGAGGCAATGCCGTGGTGGAATCTGGTGTCGTGGACTGCCATGCTTACTGCCTATACCCAATTCGGGCATCTAGACCGAGCTAAGAAGCTCTTTGATTCGATGAGCGAGCGTGATGTTGTCGCTTACACAGCAATGATCTGCGCTTTTCTTGCGGATGAGAGAATTGCCGATGCAGAGCAACTCTACGAAGCAATGCCAGAGAGGAATCTGGTAGTTTGGACTGCAATGATAACAGCATATGCCCGGCTTGGGTATCTTTTCAAGGCGGAAAAGGTATTCAACCAAATGCCCGAGCGGGACGTTATCGCTTGGAATGCCATGGTCGCTGCGTATGCACGGGAGAGATCGCTCGGTCGGGCGTTAGAAATCTTCCAAACCATGCCTGAGAGAGATTCCGTGTCATGGAACGCGCTCTTATCAGCATATGCCGTTCAAGGGCATCTAGAAGCCGCTAAGAAAACGTTCGATGATATGCCAGAGAGGGACATTGTCTCGTGGAGCTGTATGCTCTCGGCTTATACCTTGAATGGGCATATTGAGAAAGCCAGCGAGCTTTTTCACAGGTCTCCAGAGTGGAGCATCGTTTCGTGGGCTTGTATGCTCGACGCTTTCTCGCAAAAGGGTCTCCTGGAAGACGCGAAGGCGGTGTTTGATGTTATGCCCGAGTGGAATCTCGTGGCTTTTAACACGTTGTTGGACGCTTACGCTCAACATGGCGATCTTCAGCAAGCCAAGAACACGTTTGATTCTTTCCCGGAGAGAGATGATATCTCCTGGACTGCTTTGCTCAATGCTTATGCTCACCATGGCCATCTATGGAAAGCCAAGGATTTGTTAGAAGTGATACCACAAAAGTACGAAGCTCCGCCGTGGAACGCGATTTTAGCTTCGTTGGCTCGAAATGGTCACTTCGATGCGGCGCTGGAGCATCTTCACGAGATGGAACTCGAAGGAATTCCAGCCGACGAAGCGTCCTTCGCTTGCATCATTCTCGGTTGCAGCCACAAGGGAGATCTCCACGATGGCTGGTCAAAAGTCCGGTCCCTCATCCTCGATCATAGTGTCCGGCTCACCAAGCAGCTATACTGCTCCATCACTGACCTGTTGAGCAGGGCTGGATACTTGCGAGAAGCCGAGGAGATTTTGTCTGGTATGCCTTTCACCCCGGACGTTGTCGACTGGAGATGTCTTCTTGGTGCGTGTAAACGCCAAGAAGATACTCAAAGTGGAGCACAGGCTGCAATGCAAGCTCTTGTGGCGAGTCCCGAAGATCCATCTTCTTGCGTACTGCTGGCCAACGTTGTCTCTGTATAGAATTGCTCGAGCGCTTTTACTGTTTCGTGAACTTTTCCACGAGATGCTTAGGCTTTGCAGGAGAGTAGCGTGCCTAAAATAAAAGGCAGCGTGAAAACAACTAGATAGAAGACCTATTCCTTGGATAAACGTTCTTTCAGCATCACTAGCTTGACCGTGCTCCTCCAATAGAACTCCCTGATAAATATTATTATTATTATGCCAGCATAAGATCGATGTATTTGGTGTAAGAAAAATACACCTCAATAGGGACTTACAAACCTTGACCAAGTATCATCCAGACGACTTTTTATCAAAGCATCATAAATGGTCATGCATCCATCGGACAATTCCACACAGACTACGTTTTTCCAAGCAGGAGATCAACCTGTGAAAAAAATCTCATGAGTTCAAATATTATATCAAGCATTCAGTCTTCAACTGAAGCACATTGCCTTGAACATCATTCTGCCTTTAAAATTAACCATGCGGGATGTTATCACTTGGAATGCCATGGTTAAAAAAAAATTAAAAACACACAATTACTATGATTTCATGATAAGAAATAGTATTCCATTGACAAACACTACATTGGGAGCTAAACACAAAATATTTAAGCCACCCTATCATTACTACTTTCTTATGCTATCATATTGTCCATCTGTAGGTAGTATATTGGCATCATGAAATTTAAAAGGATATTAATTGTAGATAGTATATTGGTGATCATGAAATTTGATAGAGACACTGTTAATGTGATTGATTGTCATATTGATGTCTAATATACTTTTCTCATCACCAATGTTCTTGTAATATATATAATCATAGGATAAGATTTAGACTATAGATATTTGAAACTTTGGGGGATATATAAAGATAAAATACGCACTAAAGGTTGTTTTACCAAACAATTACCTTTTTTCTAAAAGAGAAATAAATTATTTTGTATAAGTATCACACAAGTTTGATTCTTATTTATTAGTTTTAAGTAAAGTATATTCCCACCCCTAAAATTGAAATCATACACATTGAGCATATATGGATAAAGGGATCTACTGTGGGACTACGAACTGTTAATAAATGGTTAATGAAGACATTAACATCTCTAAAGAGAGGGTGAGTATAGCGGACAAACAATAATCATTTAATTCCTTTTACTAGGTTATTACTTCTTAAGTAAATTAGACAAGAAATTCTTCTTTTCAAGATTGGAGGGAGCTATAACAATATTTAACTCTGTCTATAGTGGCTTTATACACTTTAGCAAACTTATCTCTAGTTTGTTACATTGTCATGTCTCAACTAACACTTTAGCCTCTCATGCCACTTCTTTAGTGCTAATATGCCACTGCTAAATGCCCCCTATCTTGTTTCTAGGGTCCAAACACCCTCATTCTTTACTATTGGGTTAGAATCTTCACAATCACTATATTTGCCCAATGAGGAAATTGTGGTAGGGAAAATTGGATTGAGTAGAAGGTTATATTGAAGTCATAATGCCATGCCTCCACCTTCTTCCCATGCCAATAAAGAGTTTTTTTATGGCTTTTGCACATCATTTAGGTTGCTGGCTGAAGAACCTTCTTTATAGCCACTATCAATGTAAATATGTGCTAGCGCCACCTCAATTTGTGAGGATGCTTTAATGAAGAGTGCTTAGGTAATTAAAAGGTGGTGAATATACAATGATGAGGTGTTGTGCTACTCTAAGAAATCATAGTCTATCAAGTGCCTCACCTGAGAGTAACAAATGCAATACCAATTTACCAGCCAGTGATGCCAAATTCACCTAGAGAGCATCTTAATGTCACTCTTGATATGAAGGCCAAGTGCCTATCCCACAAGCCAATATGAAGGATGGAAACAAATCTTTACAATTTATATGGTGACAATAGATGCCTTTGTGGGGCATGTCTTGAGAGTTACAACTTTTAAGGCCTAGCCCCCCTTCTTCACTTGGGCATTAAGAGCCTGTTGCACTATTATGATGACCAAAAGATATTTCCCACTTGTTTTTTCACAATTTTTGCTCCTAATTAGGAGCAAAACAAGAGACATGGTTGTAAATGCCCTCTTTTTCTATACAAATGGTGGTTTGCAACTAGTGGGGGCATGTGATAATGCTCAACATGCTCTTAGAGCAACTTTGAGGTCTTTACCACTAACTTTAACCTCCAAATATATCACTAACATATGCCAAAGTGGTAGTGTGTCTAGAAGGCTTGTTCTTCCACAAAGCCAATTTACTCATCCAAACTTTTATAAGCCACTTCTCCATCTAATAAGAAGTAGAGAGTATCTTACCTCTATTGCAAGAGTTACCTAATTTAGGCATCTCTTTAATCTAGGATGTTGCTTTTTTATAGAGTAAGTTTGTTTATTTAAACTTTAGTTGGTTACTTAAAGGCCACTAGAGGCTTTTGTCTTGGGAGAAATGGCCATTGTGTTCATTGTTGTAACATGTGTAATTATGTTTAATCATATATTTTCTAGGCATTTACAATAATAGTAGATTCTGACCAATTTTTTCAAACTGTAGCAAGCTCCAATAGTTAGATTTTTAATTCTTTACTTTTTAGCCTTTTTAGGAGCTTTGGTATATACTATTATAGTGTGAGTATTTGTGCCACTATTATAGAGTATGATTCATTGAAGATTTTCTCATAGGATATTGGCTTATTTGTAGCCAAGTATAGGAGTTTGTAAAACTTTTTTGATGTTAAAGGGAGTTTGGAGGATATGATTCAACTATTTAAGTGAAGCATCTAGAACATGACTATAGAAGGCTATATGAGTAAAGTATACTA